GCATTTTGACGGGTGATTCTCACATGCCTCCAGGGGCTCGGATGAACCAGTCAGCCCTGGGAAATCTCCTCCAGATCTGGACATCACCATCTGGGACCAGCTGGGGGTTGGGTGGTGACGTGCCGGCATAAAGGCTGGGTCCACACTTCCGAGGAGTCCATGGCTAGAAGTGCCTGATTATTTTACAATTTTTGTATCTGTAAAACCAAGTAAGTTATAATGCCCACTTAATTCTAGCTTCTCTGCCACCTGTTGTCAATGGCGATCCAATACGTATGGCTCCAGGGCTTCCCTGGCGCCTTGTGCTCTGTTCCCCACCCATTCTTCTAGGTGTATATTCTGCCGACTTCTTACAAGGCTGCCCCCCTGAGCAGTGAGTGCCCACGTGTGAACGTGTGAAGAGAAGAGAGATGGAGAGAGAGAAGAGAGAGAGAGAGAGATGGACAAGAAACAGGCACAGACAGGGAGAGAGATGGGAGGATGAGGGGAAAGGAGGGGAGGGGAGGGGAGGGGAGGGCTGAGGAGAAGAAGACGAAGCAATGAGATACCCAGGGATAGGGAGCACCACAAGGAGCCTGGTCCATTTGTCTCTCCCTCTGGCTACTTACCTCTAAACTCCAGAACATTCTTCTTTTGGCTTGTGCCCCTGGGAGTTCAGTCTGTCCTTGCAGCCCAAGGGTCCCCGTCAACATATGGAGATGCCCACATCCAAGGGGTCCAAGGAGGCTGCAAGGAGCCACCACACGTGGGCAGCTGCCCCTCGGGCCCTGGACGAGCCTTCAGCACATGTTGGCTTTAATTATTGTGCTTTAACATTTTATATTTGACACCAATTCCATTTGATTTTGAAATCACCCAGCACCTCATATCCTCATATTACTGTAGGCTCTGATCTAAGCACCTTTGGAGATACTTGCCCAGATGTGACTAGCTGGTCCGGAAGGTTCCCATGCAGAGCCCGGCCCGCCTTCTTTAGCTCCGGCTCTGCTCTGGGGGCTCTGGCCAGATGCACTTATCTCTCCAATAAAAGGAGCCAAGCCGCAGAGTCTGCAAACCTGCGTCAGCCCTGCACTCTGACCACAGCTGAGCCCATGCTCACACTGCTCTCTCCTCCTTTGAGACCTTGTTTGCAACAAGGTTTCACAGCCTGTTAATGTCACCACAATACCAGAGTCTGAATTGGGATTGGAAGATGTCATCTCTTATGATATGAGCCTTTCTCAGCACATATCCCACTGGTGGGATAACACACACCCACGGATAGGGACATGTGATTTATAACAGGGACATAATTATCCTAAGTAAACGCATTGACAAACAGAACCCAACAATCAGGGGCATGTAGAGCTCATCTCAGGAATGCAAGGATGAATCAACATCATAAAATCTGTTAGTACAATTCGCTACATTGAGAAGAGGAAAATCCTTGGTCATCTCAAAAGATAGTCAGTCTCCCCCCAAAAGCGTTTGGTAAAATGTAATACTTATTACTGCATTTCAAGCACACAGCCAGAAGACCTTCAGGAAGCTAAGAATGGTAGGAAAATTCCTCAACCTCTAATAAACATTGTACTTAATACATTAGCACAGGGGTCAGCAAACTTCTGTAAAGGGTCAGATAGCAAATATTTCAAGTTTTTCAGGCCATATGGTCTCTGTCCCAACTACTTAACATTGATGTCACAGTATGAAAACAGTCATTAGACAACATGTAAATGAATAGGCCTGGTTGCGTGCCAATAAAACTTTATTTACAAAGAGAGACCACTGTGGGCAGGATTTGGACCTCAGCCATGGTTTGAAGACTCCTGCATTAGAATCATTTACATTATAGTCAGAAACAAGAGAAAGATGCCTGATTTTATATTTGAAGCCTGGAGAACGCAATACTACAAGACAATATATGTGAAGTACAAATACTAAAAAGGCAGAGATAAAAATACAATTATTTACATAATTATATGACTATTTGTGTAGAAAAATCTAAAACAATCAACTGGCAAACCATTAGAATTAAAAGTGGTCAGTTCTAAGGTCAACATACAAAAACAATAGCATTTATTTAAACAGCAATATATGATCTTAATGTTTCATAAGCAAAAGTGTCCCATTCATGATAACAATAAAACCCAGAAATAAATGAAGAAATAAGTGAATTTGATGTAAAAGAAAACTAGAAAACTTTATTGAAGTTTAAAGAAGTCGAGAGACAGACGCACCCTGGAGCCAGACTCTAGATCACATCAACATTAGATTCCAAAGTGTACCTGCGTACTTGATAAAATTCCCAACAGTTTGGGTTTGAAACAATGGATTTTAAACTACGTATGGAAGAAAAAGTATGCAAGCTTAGTTGAGAAATACTTTTAAAAGAATGTGGAGAAGGTCCGACCAGTGTGTGGCTCAGTGGTTGAGTGTCGACCCATGCACCAAGAGGTCACCGGTTCGATTCCAGGTCAGGGCACATGCCCAGGTTGTGGGTCAGATCCTCAGTGGGGGGCACACAGGAGGTGGCCAATCGATGTTCTCTCTCATCTATGTTTTTCTCTCTCTCTTCCTCTCCTTTCCTCTCTCCCTAAAATCAATAAAGGAAAATAGATAAAATAAAAGGACCTGGAGAAGGAATTTGCTGTAAAGCCATCATAACTAACGCACTGTTACTGTGCAGAAATCGACAAACAGGTGCATTGGTCAGGACTGGAAGACCAGAGATAGCACCGTATTTGAGGGAATTTAATTTATGATGAAAGTAGCATTTCATGTCAGTGAAAAAGGATACCCTTTTCAATAAATGATGTGACAACTGGCTGTGCATTTGAAAAAGAAAATATTACGCCCACCAACACACAGTGCCCTTGCTCACACTCTCCCTTCCACTAGGCTGCAGCTTCTCGCTCAGCCCCACAGATGGGCAGGTTGCTCCCCACTCTCAGATGAGGACAGGGTCCCCAGCCACACCTATTGCTGGGAGTCCCTCGGGGCGTGGGGGAGCTTGTGACTCAGCTACAGTGTATTTGGCTGAGGAGACTCCAGATAAAGGACCCTCCACTCCTTTCTGGGTTTTCATGGGCTGAGTCTAAACAGTCTCCAAGGTCCACCCTGTGCAGTTTTGGGGACTCCTTTGGAAGAATTTGCAACCCTGGCCAGATGCAGAGCACAAGAGCAAAGTGGGCAAGGGTCATGTGGAGTTGATACCCGCTTGGGGTCTCCTCTACAATCAGCAGAGGTCCCTGTTCTGCACTTCATTTCAAGGAGGGACACCCACATTACCCTATCCCCATCTGTTTGTGGTTCTGTTGATGCTACCATCTGAGAGGGCAGAGATGAGTCCTTGAAACTGGCTCTCCAAACATAAATAAACAGTCTGTTTAATGAAACAAAGTATACACTCTTTGACATTTGCCAGCTTTGATCTCAGATTCTCAGTCAGTCCTCCTCCCTGGCCCCCATCCCCACCTCAAGCAATGTATTGTGACTGCTGACCAAGCCTCCCTAAGATTGCCCCTTTCCTCTCCATCTCTGCCCCACCCCTAGGGCGGCCCCCACCTGGGCTAGAAGGTGTTTGTGAATGGGGCTGCAACCTAGGGACATGACTGGACCAGGCTGAGCAGCTGGAACACTGGACTCCCCTGGGACACAAGGTCCGCCCCCCTCTCTAAAGAGGACCCCCCCACACACACACATGTGCACACATACACACACACGTGCACAGCCCTGCCTTCAGGTGTGTGTCCCACCCTGCCTCCCTGAACTCTGCTTCAGACACAGCCCTCCCTACTGTGGAATCCCACATTCCAGAATAATCTCTGTCCCTCTTCAGAGACTCCGGGCCTCAGAGCTTTTCCCATGTGTCTTTTCCACCCCAGGGTTGGGATCCAGGTGCCCAACACTGGAACTTTTGAGAACTGTGAGGATAGATGAGACCCCAGGGCCCAAAGGGGATCAAAGCAGCAGCTTTAACAGGTGTGGCCCCACAACTCACAGACCACACCTGCCTGGACCCCAGGCCAAATGGGGTTCCTCCTCCCTTGTCAGGTGAAGGTCTTGCTGCCCCTCTTTGGGGGAGTTGGGCCAGGATGAGAAGTAACTCTGGGTGTTCCCAGGGTAGGAAAGACAGGGCCCAGGTCTGAGACCCCCAGCTCCCTCGTCTTGTCAGGAGACTCCTCATGGGCCCTGTTTTCTATTCCACCACGTTCTCCTCGGTCCCTCGGGAGCCCAGGGACTTGGGAAGGGCTCTTCTGCCCTCTGGTGGCCAAGTGGCTGCGGGTGGATGTTGCTGCAGTAGCTTGAGAGCATGCACACCCAGTCAAGAAACCTTAACCATCGGAGACTGTTGTGCAGCAGGAAGCTATTTCCAGTTATTTGTATAAAGATCTATTTTTTTTCTTAATGAAAGACACGTAAAACCTCTCCCAGTCATAACCCAGGGGTCTATCAGGAGGGGAGGGGAGGAGGTGGGAAGCACCTTAGGTGATGAACTGAGGGGAGGGTGCCCGGCGTGGAGCGCCCCGGGCCACTCTCCCGGAGGTGTTCCTGGAAGAAACAATGGCTGGAGGGCCGCAGAAGGCGCCTCGACCTCCGGGAATGGGCTCGGGGTCTGGAGCAAGCCCGGGCACCTGCCAGCAAGGTCCGGCGCTGCCCGCTCCCCGCCGCACTGGCCCGGTGAGGACACAGAGCGGAGGCCGCGATCGCCGCAGGCCGCAGAGATGACGTTCGCTCCCCGGAACGCGCGGCCCCGCTCGGCCCCGACCCCGTCCGTCCCCCGCCCCTGCTGTCCCACCCCTGCGGTCCCACCGCTGCGGTCTCGCCCCGTCCACGGCCGGGACCACGGCCCCGGGCTCCGCCTGCCCCGCGCGCTTGGCCCTAGAGCCGTCCTGGCTCGAGATGACGTACCACGCATGTGCGGGGCGGGGCCCGCGGCGTTGCCGTGGCTGCGGGTGACGCGCTCCGCGGGGACCACGGGGCGGGCGCTTCCGGGGCGGGACGTGGTCTCCGGAAGTGCGTGGCCGTCCGGGGCCATGGCGGCGCTCGGCGTCGTCTACTTGCTGCTCGGGCTGGCGTCCTGGCGGTCAGCCTGGGCCTCGGGCGAGGAGTTCTGGCCCGGCCAGTCGGCGACTGACATCCTGTCGGGGGCGGCGTCCCGCAGACGGTGAACGCGCGTCCGCGCTGTCGGCGGGGCTCCTGGGCGCCCGGGGCTGTGGGGCACTGGGGGCGGGGCTGCTGGGCTGCTGGGCTCCGGGCGGGGAGACGCGGGCACGAGCCAGGGTCGCGACCCCTAGACCCCAGGAAGGACCGGCTGTGGGTCAGCGTTAAGGGGTGGGCCTGGGACCCTGTTAGATGATGCGGGTTCTTGTCCAGGTTTCGGGGATCCCCAGAGTCAGATGTTCAGTGGGATGGTTCTTAAGAAAGCACAGCTTTGTTTATCTTTATCTGCACCCGAGTCTTTCAGCCTCCATCCAGTTGCTGGATGGTCATGTCTCAGGCATAAAAAAATAAGGGTCAGTGCAGGTCATCTTGGTACAAAACAGACTGTGCCGGGTGAGGGGTGCAGAGATTGTAGACAGGCCCTTCCTCTGGGTGTTTGCAGGCCCAAGCCCTGGATTACACACAACTTCATCTGGGGAAAGCAGTGTGGAGAAGGGAGGAGTGAGGATAGCCGGAACCAGCAGACCCGGAGGACCGGCTTAGGTCTTTAAAGCAGGTGGTGATGCTTTGGGTAGGGCAGCGGTTCTCAAAGGGTGTCCAGGACATCTGAACATACCATTTTTGTAGTGATACCAGGATGGTATTTGCCTTTTTCACTCTCTTTCTCCCACTGGTTTACTTCATGTTTTTTCTTGGAGGTCACTTGTGATATCTCAACACATTGAATATGGCAGCAGACATAAGAATCCAGCTATCACCAGACCGAAGCATTTGCAAACACTGCCACTCTTCTCACCAATTATTATCATTATTATTATCATCATCATCGTTATTACTCCTCACCAATGACACTTTTGCATTTATCTTCAGATAGAGCGGGAAGGAGAGAGGGAGGAAGAGAGAGAGAGAAAACATTGATGTGAGAGAGACACATTGAGTGACTGCCACCCACACGACCCCAACTGGGACCAGGGACAAACTGCAACCGAGGTACATGCCCTTACTGGGAACCGAACCCAGGACTCTCCGGTCCGTGGGCCAACGCTCTAACTGCTGAGCCAAACTGGCCAGGGCTCACCAATTATTTTTGTTTTGACAAATATACTTTTCATTTTAAAATGTTAATAATAATAATAACATGTCATAGGTTTACTGTTATTTTGAAGTGAATTAATACATGCTTTTTAACAATCATACATTAACTTAAATCAGGATTTAAACCTACATATAGATTTAACCCACATAAACAGCAGCCTTTTGGGGTACTCAGTAATTGTTAAGAGTGTAAAGTGGACTGTAGATCAAAAAGTGTGAGAATCACTGGAGGGCTGATTCTCAGATTCCGGTCACTGACACTGCTGGGCTTAGTGGTCAGGTATTGCTAGTTGTTAAACAGATGCTGCTCCTGCTTGTGGGCTCTGTAAGTCTTTGGTCAGTTGGAAGTGGATGGGCAGCTGCCTCCCCTTTACAGAATAGAAACTATTGAAAGCCCCAGAGTGAGCGATCACCTCTGGATCCCCTTGAGTTCTCTGCCCAGAGACCTCGAGCTAAAGCACCGCTGTCCTGCTCCTCCCTGCCAGGTATCTTCTATATGACGTCAACCCCCCAGAGGGTTTCAACCTCCGCAGGGATGTCTACATTCGCATCGCCTCCCTCCTGAAGACCCTGCTGAAGACGGAGGAGTGGGTACTGGTATTGCCCCCTTGGGGCCGCCTCTACCATTGGCAGAGCCCTGACATTCACCAGGTCCGGATCCCGTGGTCTGACTTTTTTGATCTTCCAAGTCTCAATAGAAACATCCCCGTCATTGAATATGAGCAGTTCATTGCAGGTGAGGTGGTGGTTCTGGTGTGGATGGCAGGCCAGGCCGAGAGGTCAGCCAGTGGGCCTGTTGTCGCCTTTGCTTTATGGAGGGCCCTGTATCCTTCTGTTTCCCACACTGCCAGTGATCTTAGTCTTGCCTTAATTTTTCTAGGGAAGTAGATCTGAAGTGTGTGAGCTCCGACTCCCCTTGCCTCTGACAACTGTGGCAGCCTGGTGCGTCAGGGAAGTGCAGTTAGAGCCGCTGGTGAGAAAGCCGCTGCCACAGGCGGGGCTGCCCTAGAGGGTGTCCTTATGCAGAGGAGGCATTTTATCGGAAGGAAAACACTATGTGTGTATGGCACTGACCTTGTGATGTCCACTGCAGTGCTGCTGAAGACTTGTAACGATGTGCCGTTCATTTAGTCCTGCTTGAAGATTTTCTTAGAATAAAGGTATTTAGAGTTTACTCTTGCTTTGTTTAGAAGACATAAACTTAACAAATCAGTGTACATCTTTTCTCCTTCCCTAGAGAGGCCTAGAAGAGCCAGTCACAGTCTTTAAGCCACTGATACCCTGTAAGGTTTATTGATGAGTCACAGTCTCTAAGCTGCTGATACTCTGTAACAGTCATTGGTCTCTAAGCCGTGGCTCTGTAACATTGAATTCCCTACTCCACAGGGACCTGGACAGCTTAGAATTGGTGCTCACACTGAGAATGGTGGCTTGCACATCTTAATTTTTCAAGTTCTTTTCTCCCTGCACCCTAGACCCTGTCACTTTGAAACGATTCTGTGTGTCAGAGTCAGCCCTGTGATTGCTACAAGCCTGGAACAACATAGTATCTTCTCGGAAGAGGCAAACCCTGACACTGTGCAAAGCATTCATGAAACTCTTACTCCCCCGTCCCAAGAACAGAGAGGCAGCTAGGTGTTTAGTCGGATTTGACGTGGCCTGGGAAATTGTCTGCCCTGGGTTTGAACCCAGGTCACAGAGCCTCCCAGAGAACCTGCCCTTCACCTTCCTGCGGGGTGGGGTGGCAGGTTTCCTGACAGATGGGCACAGGGTCTGGGCTTTAGCCATTTGAAAACGTGCTTAGTGACTGGAAACTATGGGGATGGGAGACAGGTATCCTCCCTACTGCTTCCCACCCCCCCTCCCCCAATCCCTGTAGCTGGAGCCGCCAGGGGGAGGGAAGATAGAATGTCCTGCTTGGAGGCAGGCAAAACAGCTTTGCCTTCACCCTGTCTGACTAGCCGACTCTGCTCAGCTGTTTCTTCCCCTACAAAGGGGACAGGCACGGGTGCCCATCCTAGGATGGGATGCTGGGGCATGTGCAGTAGAGCACCTGGCCACATGTCAGCCTCTTGACGTCTCCTCACTTTCCCCCCACTGTAAGAGGAGCCCGGGAGCTGTGGCTTCTGGTGCTGTCACCATGCACATGTTAGTGCCCACGCGAGAGTGAAGTGTGGAAGACACCAGAATTTCACTTGCTGTGGCTCTCTTGTCACGGGTCATTCGTTCCATCTTTGAACAAATCTTTGACGACCACAGATGTGGCCGACATGTCCTAAGTGTGGGTGGGATCAGTGGATAAGAGGGACACAGGCCCCTGCGCTCCCAGAGCTCCTGTGGGGAACGGGGAGCAGAAAATAAAGAATATAAACAAGTTGCCCTGGCTGGGTGGCTCACCTTGTTGGAGCGTCATTCTATACACCAAAAGGTTGAGGGTTCGATTCCCAGTCAGGGCACATACCTAGGTGGTTCATTTGAGCCTTGGTCAGGGAATGTATTGGACGCAACCGACTGATGTTTCTCTCTCACATCGATCTTCCTCTCTGTCTAAAATCAATCAAAATGTATTCTCGAGTGAGGATTTAAAAGAATATAAATAGTCCAGCTGGTGTGGCTCAGTGGTTGAGCATCAGCCCATGCACCAAGGTTCGATACCCGGTCAGGGCACATGCCCAGGTTGTGAGCCCAATCCCCCAGTGGGGGGCACGCAGGAGGTGGCCAATCGATGTTCTCTCTCATCGGTGTTTCTATCTCTCTCTCTCCCTCTCTAAAATCAATAAAGGAAAAAAAAATTAAAAAATAGAAATAAAAGAATGTAAGAGTCACTGAAACGTGCAGGGTTGGAGATGCGTGGACCAAAAGAGAGGGGAGGGGTCTGCAGTGTTGGAGGGCAGGTGGCCACAGCCTGGGAAGGCGTCCCAGGGAGGTGTCATTTGAGTGGCCTCACGGGTCGAGAGCAAGCCCTGGGGAGATGGTCCACGTGGGGATGGCTGTTCGGAGGCCCCAGGGAGGGAGCAGGCGGACGCACCCCGGAGGCACAGTGGGCGGCCAGCCCTAGGAGGAGCCCGGGAGAGGAGGGTGAAAGAGTGAGTGGGCCTGTGGCCAGCATGAGGCCCCGCCCTGCCTCCAGGGAAGTGGGGGTACAGGGATAAAGAGAAGGGGGTGAGGGAGTGGTCAGGGTGATGAAGAGCCCATGGGAGCAGCCAGGGCCTAGACAAGCTGTACCACTCCCCAGCTAGCCCGCTGTCTCCCTTCGGGGACCCTGTGCTCTGATGTCACTGCTTCTGTCTTAGCTATTTGTAAGCTTCCTCCACTCCTTGGGAAGAAGGTAGCCTTAACCAAAAAGTGATCATTCTCTGTCTGTATCGATGGCAGTCATACGAGCCGCACACGTGTTTCAGCAACTATTGACTGTCAGTTCTTGGTCTCTTCCAGAGTCCGGTGGGCCCTTCATTGACCAGGTTTATGTCCTGCAAAGTTATGCAGAAGGGTGGAAAGAGGGGACCTGGGAAGAGAAGGTTGACGACCGGCCCTGCATCGATCCGCTGCTGTACTCACAGGACAAGCACGAGTACTACAGGTATGACTGGCCAGCCTTCCACCGCCCAGGCGGGGGCTGGTCACCCCTAGCGTCTGGAGAGCACGTGTGACCACCGCCACACTTCCCACCTGCCAGCCGCTGCATGGGTCCCCAGGGGACGGCCTTTCGCCCTCCAGCTGGTGCAGCCAGCCTCCTTGTCCCTTGTTCACGGTGCTTCGGTCACTTAAAAATACCCGAGACACATTTACCTTTTCCCACATTGTTTATTGCGTTTGAACCAGATCCTGGAAATGGCCCTCTTGTCACCCCATTCCTAAGTTGCCATCAGAAGACCTCCCTGTAGAAGGGCTGTCACCTCAGCAGCTTTAACAACTTGGGTGACATAGAAGCTCTCTAGAGGAGCATTGTTTTTGGGACTGTTACCATCACAACTCGGGTACTGCAGCATGACCGTGTCGTTTCCTTCCGACTGCCCTGCTCTCCCGTCACTGTGCCGTCCTGATCCGGAAAAGAGCTTCAGTGGTCTCATCAAGTAGATGAAATTTATGTTTTCTTTAAAAATTCTCACTACCTGTAATGACGACCAGTGAGCTTTCGCCAAGAGAAGCACAGGTTATCGAGGTCGAGGTGTACGTGTGTGCACCCAGATTGTACTTATCGCCTGTGGAAAACACTAAACTAAGGCGTCCTGTGGCTGTTCTTTTCCAGGGGATGGTTCTGGGGTTATGAAGAAACAAGGGGTTTAAACGTTTCCTGTCTGTCTGTTCAAGGATCAGCTTCTGTCATCGCGCCTGTGCTTTTAAGAAACACATCAGCACGGTAGGTGCCCGCACCATCGCTGGGTGATGGGCAGTGGGGGTGCGTGTGCACGTGTGTGTGTGCACGTGTGAGTGTGCGTGTGCACTCTGTCCTGGTGGCACTGGCACCCCGCCTGGCTCCGGCCTGTGTGGGGTCGCTGGACAGTTAGACCTTGTCCCTGCCCCCGTCCTCTGCAGTGAGGCGGAACGGGCATTGGGACCCAGGAGGAGGCTGCGTGTGCCCTTGGGAAAGGCCAGGAAAGGGCCGCAGATTTGGCTCAGCGGCACCCACACGCTGAGGCTCTGCTGCAGGTGCCGTCTGTTGTCCCCACGGGGTGCCCCTGGGAGCACTGCTCTTTTGAACTGCTTGGTGGGGTTCACACTGTTGGTCACACCGCTGGTGGCTAGTGGAGTCAGACTCACACCTGGTTCACTCCAGGGTCCCTGTCTGAGGTGACGGTGACAGGGTGGGGTCTGGCTGGGTGTACAGGGGGTGTTTGGGGACGGGGCCCGTGGAGAGGAGAGGACAGGGATGAAGGCCGTGTGCTGGACCGGAAGGGGCACCCATTTTATGTTCCTCATCGTCTTGGTGATGGCAAAGTGCCGCCATGGCCATGGGCACATGTGGCCGAGGCCGGTGAGGGCAAGGACAGTCAGAAGAGCAGGACCAGGGGCAGCGAGGCCCCAGCTGGCTGCGTGCTCAGTGTGGAGGGGCGCCATGCTTCCTGCCCGGGTCACTTCTGAAATGAAGCTGCCCCGTGCAGCCCCTCGAACCTGACCTTGGTGAGGTCAGAGGAGCGGCCAGAGCCTTTCCCGGAAATGCTGCTCTGGGCAGCTGCTCCTGGCCTCTCCTGCTGGAAGTGGATCCGTCCCGCTGTGTTGTCCCTGGTGCCTGGTCCCTCTCGGGCTGCAGCTGCCCTCCCTCACCGCTGGGTGGTGCCAAGGGGTCCCTGGGAAGAGACAAGTCGGCCAGCTTAGTTTATGAAACAGACTGGTTGGGGCAGGACCTTGGCAGCCAGGCAGCCATGTTCTTAGAAGTTTCCTGTGGCCCTGGCCAGTTTGGCTCAGCGGTTAGAGCGTCGGCCTGCGGTCCAGAGAGACCCGGGTTCGGTTCCCGCTGAGGGCACGTACCTCGGTTGCAGTTTGTCCCCGGCCCTGTTTGGGTCGTGCAAGTGGCAACCACTCGATGTGTCCCTTTCACGTCGATGTTTCTCTCTCTCTCTCTCCCCCTCTCACTCTATCTGAACAAAATATGGAAAAATGTCCTTGGGTGAGGATTAAAAAAAAAGAAGTTTCCTGTAGATTGAGTTGCTGGGGGACATGGGACCCTGAAATAAGGAGCCCCTTCTGTTAGCTACCTTTAGTCTGAAGTAGGTCCATGGGGGCAGACCTCCCATGACAGCCTCACTGATGCCCCTTGCACCCTGGGGGCCCAACGCCTAGGGAAGCCTTTTGTGCATCTCCAAGGCCTGAGGGATTCTCCTCAGATCACAACAGGATCACAGTCTTGCCCCTGATTTGCCAGGATGCCAGGCAGGACCCTTCCTGGTCCCTTTGAGCCCATTTTCTCTATGTTAGGACCACCTTGGGGCTACTCCTTTGTAAACAAAATGCAAGTGGTTCGTCGTCGGCCAGCAGGCGTCTGTTGGAGGAACCGTGTTTTCACTTCTAGAAAGGTGGAAGCACAGGTTGCAGGGCCCCAGCTTACTAGTGTCCTAAGGCAGCATCTCTCCTAAGAAACGTTTGGGTGGAAAAGGCAGAAGTTTGGACCTGTGAGATGTGTAAGCTTGCCAGTCACTTTTCAGAGTCTCATTTTATGGGTAAGAATACAGCTGAGCCCAAAAGGAGACTTGTGCCCAGAAAGAGGGCCCCTCGATTTGGAAGCACCCTGAGATACATGTGGCTAGACATTTCACGGGGAGTCACCCCACCATACAGCAGGCTCCGCTCCAGGTGGAGAAAGACCTGGTGTGACAGCAAAGCCGTGAAGCTTTTAGAAGAAACAGCCTTGAGAGAGACCTTGGGGTGGGGAGAGATTTCTTAAACAGACAAAAAAGAAAAGATTGATAAATTCAGTCACGTTACAATTAAGAATTTCTGTCCATCAGAAGATACCATTAAAAAATGAAAATATAGCCAGACCAGTGTGGCTCAGTGGTTGAGCATTGACCTATGCACCAAGAGGTCACTGGTTCGATTCCTGGTCAGGACACATACCCAGGTTGTGGGCCCAATCTCGGGGAGCGGGGGGCATGTAGGAGGCAGCCAGTCGATGTTCTCTGTCATCGATGTTTCTATCTCTGTCTCCATCTCCCTTCCTCTCTCTTTAAAATCAGTAAAAAAAAAAAAATTTTTTTTAATGGAAAGAGAGATTACAGATGGGAGAAGGCACGCAGGGCATATTTGATCCCTAAAGGACAATGCAGGAAATGGACAGAGTTCCTAAAAATCAGTGAACAAAGGGAAGGTAGTCTGTAGTGAATTCTGCAAAAGACACAATGAGATACATGGCAGGAGGAAATACACTGGCTGTTAAACCTGGAAGATGCGCTCTGCCCCCTCAGTGACCAGGAAATGCAGGCTAATGCCCTGGGAATGATGGGGTGACAGGGATGCACACCGCTGCTGGCAGGAAAACTTCGGGGGGACAGTTAGCCTAGGGTTCAACGGCAGACCTGTGATCCAGCAGGTCTAGCCTCCTCACGTGTCTGCACGTGCACACAAGGTATGTTCCAGAATGTGGCCACCCAAACCAGGAAACGCCACGCATCCTTCAGCTGTAAGTGGATAAATAGGTTGTGGCATATTCAAAACTGAAACACGACTTAGCTAAGGAAATGAAAAACCTGCTGACTCAACAAGGGTAAATCAGATATAATGTTGAGTGAAAGAACACAACAGAGATTCCTCCAAATGCCATTTGCATAAAGTCCAGTGACAGGCACAGCTAACCTGCATGCAGTGTGGGGACATGCACGGGGGTGGGGCGCGTGAGGAGGTGATCCCACAGTGGCAAAGGCACAGGGAGGCTGGGCCAGGTGTGGGCCCGTGCTCAGTGGGGGCTGCACAGTGCTGGCGGCCCGCAGGGTGGAATGCCCTTTCTGCAGGCTGTGCTGTGTTTCATAAAGCAGACCCTCTCTCCCCGACCCCAGAGGCTGCCACTGTCCCTACCCACTCCGTTTCTTTCCAGAACTTTCCTGTTTAGGTCAGATATTTGTGTGTGTTCGCCTTCCTTTTTAAACACAAGTGAAGTCATACCAGGGGCATGTTCTCCACGTGGTCTCGTTTTCCTTTTTTCCCACTGAATACATCTCAGGTGTTAGAGACCCACAGCGGTCACGATGTTCTTTTGCAGTAGTCTCTGCACAGATGTACGAGACTTTACTGAACAAGCCCAAATCTTTGGTTGGTTCCAGGTTTTTCTGTTATAAATAGGAAACATTTTTGCCCAGATGTGGGGGAGTACAAATGGAGGCTCAGACCTAGAGTGGAAGTGGCCGTGGGATGTGTCCTTTCTGGGTGGCACCTTTGGGGCTTATCCCCATGCGGTCGTCAGCAGAGCCGAGTTTCAAGCTGAAAAGTGAAAAGTGGGTCCCTGGTCTGGTAGTGTGTGTGTGTGTGTGTGTGTGTGTGTGTGTGTGTGTGATTTCAGAGTGAAATCATGATTGCAAAGTGAAAGGCATTTCTGAAATATTTTTCTGTTATGCACCCTTTTAAATGTTGCCAATTTCTGTCTCTGCAGTTTTAATTTTCCATATTCACAGTTATTAGTCTGTTCTTTAATGGTTTCTGGGGTTTTTTTATTCCAACCTTCACCATCCCAATATTCTTAAAAATTCTTTCATGGTCTAATTCTGTAGTCTGAGCTCTCACATCTAACTCTGACCATTGAAGACTTGTCTGTGTGAGAGAGGGCTCCGGTCCTCACCCAGCTCCAGACTTGTCCTGCCTCCTGGGTCGCCCAGTCCCAAGCGGGCGTGGGCCTGTTTCTGGAGTGTCCCCCTGTGTGTTCTAATGCTGCAAGTGGTTTGGCCACCCCGTAAAGCACAGCCTCCCTGGGCCCTCACTGTGAGGGGAAGGAGTCAAGCAGTCACTAAAGAAGTGCTAGCTTTTTAAAAATTTTTTTTATTGATTTTAGAGAAAGAGGAAAGGAAGAGGGAGAGAGAGATAAAAACATCAATGAGAGAGAACATTGACTGGCCGCCTCCTGCGTGCCCCCCACTGGGGATCGGGCCCACAACCTGGGCATGTGCCCTGACCAGGAATTGAACTGGCGACCTCTTGGTACATGGGTCGATGCTCAACCACTGAGCCACACCGGCTGGGCAACTAGCTTTTGGCTCGAGAAACAGACAGCATAAGGAGTACCTAGTCCCTGTTTTATTGAGGCCATGTTCTAAAAATAGGAGTAAATACGGACTTTAATGCCTTTGTGGTACCCGTCATCATGTGCCCTTTACCTGCTGACGTGGGGGTTGAGTGATGGGTTTTCTAATATTGAATCATCTTTCATTCCTGGGGTGAACCCCATTTGTCATGTGTGTTGTTACTTCAATATACTGGTTTCTATTTGCTAATTTTATTTGGTCTGTTTTCATTTTTGCATTGGTTGTATAAGTGGGCTTGGTAATCCCCGGTTCAGTGGCTAGGACAGAGAGGCTCCGTGGATGCTTAGAATCACTTAGAAATTAAGACCCTCCCAGACTCATAGTGTGGAGGGCCAGGCAGGTGCTCCTTAGAGGGTCAGCAGTAACTTGCCCACATACGCCCTGGCGACCCACAGGTTAGTGCCCTCTCAGAATTGGTCCCTGGTGGCTCCTGGCCCAGGGCCCCACTCTGATGCTGCTCTCTGGAGCGTGTAAATGTAATTGTTTTTCAAGTTAAACTCTTTTGCCCTGGCCGGTATGGCTCCGTGGTTAGAGTGTCGGCCCGCACACCGAAGGATCTCGGGTTCGATTCCCGGTCAAGGGCACAGAAAAAGAACTCACGCTAAGCTGGCCTCCAAGCTCATGCTGCGCAGCTCCCAGCTGTGTGGGATTTGGGCATTTCTGCTGACAAGGGTTGTAGGTTCGATTCCGGGTCCTGGTCAGAGTTGTGTGGGAGGCAACCAATCAATGTCTCTCTCTCTCATCTTCCTCCCTCCTTCCACTCTCTGAAAATCAATGGAAAAATATCCTTAGGTGAGGATTAACAACAAAAAAAAGTCAAAGTCTTTCTTTTTCTGTTGTTTAAAAACAGGTCCGTGATGTTAGACAGAGCCGAGAACCTCCTTCATGACCACTACGGAGGGAAGGAGTACTGGGATGTGAGTGCTGCCCAGGGGGCTCCTCTGAATGTTCTCATCGTTTTAATTTGTTTAGTTTTTGAAAATCTAAGACCATCGACAACTCCTGTTTTCAGCCTTGCTGACTGAACCCATGAAGCTCTGAGCAGTGTTGGGTGTGGGTGTGGGTGTGGGTGTGGCAGTGACTCCCCCACACGCACTCAGGGTGCCCCAGGGTGACGGTCAGCCCCCCCCCCCCCCCCCCCCGCCTCCTGAATCGGCATCACCTGTCCTTTCCTGCTGCCTCCATCAGTGACTGGGTTTAGGGCTCCTTCTGCTCCTCTGTCTTCAGCTTTGCAAGGTAGGGGTATTTTCTGCCATGAGGACTTCATGAACTCTGCTTTGTGGGGAGCCGGCTCTGGGTGACTTGATGCCAGGTTGTCGTGAATGGGGCTGGCAGAGCTCAGAGCAGCTGTCCCCTGGCATCAGCATTCCGCTGACGTGTCCACGGCGGCCGCTGTTCATCAGCCTCTGGTTCAGAAGAGGCGCATCCTGCTGACACGGGAAAAGGCACGAAGCACATCCTGAGGAGAGTCTGCGGCTGGGAGTGGAGGGGTCTGAGGGGAGACACCGCAGCCTGTTGGGGGCCTGGGCTGTTGGGGCTCTGCTGGGTGGGAGGGGTGGCCTCTGTGGGAGCTGTGTGCGGGCCTCTGGAGGGATCGGGGTGGGGCCGGGGACGCAGGGACACTGCCGGGGCACCTGCCCCCATCAGATCAGCTCAGCCCCACTCGGCTCCCAGTATCACCCAGACCCGAACACGTGGAGAGAAACTGATTCTTAGAAGATGCGTTGTTTTGGTGCTGAAGAGAAAATAAACATTTTTGGTAAATTCCAGCTGTCTTAAAGAAAAAGAACTCACACCAAGCTGGCCTCCAAGCTCATGCTGAGCTGCTCCCAGCTGTGCGGGGTTTGGGCGCCCTCTGCCTAGTCACCTCCCAGAAGCCCCATGTACGGACAGTTTCTGGGGCCCTCTGTGCTCGCCCCCGTTGTGCCCTTGGAGGCAGCCCGCCAGCGGCACAGGTTTCCATGCGGTTGGCTTGATTCTTGTCCTCTTCTCGGGTTCCCAGGTTGTCCATTGAGCTGCAAGGGTGTTATTTGTGGCCACTGATTTTCGAAAAGGAAAAACACAGTATTTTGTGTTCAGGAATATGCCGTTTGTGTCCTGTTATCTGTACACCTGGTTTATAATGAAGGGTAGCACCCACATTGATGCTTTTTAAAAAAAAATTTTTTAATTGATTTTTAGAGAGAGAGAAAGGGAGAGGGAGGGAGAGAGAGATGGAAACATTGATGAGAGAGAACATCGATTGGCCACCTTCTGCATGCCCCCCACTGGGGATCGAGCCCGCAAACTGGGCATGTGCCCTGACCGGGAATCGAACCGGCGACCTCTTGGTGCATGGGTCGACGCTCGGCCACTGAGCCACACTGGCCAGGCCATTGCTTCTTAACCATAAAATAACTGGCCTGTCCTCATGCTGGGGCACCTGCACCCTGTTGCTATGGGTCAGGAGCCTGAAGAAATGGGAGTCATGTACCCCGTGTAGCCACTGACCTCTTCCACTCTCGGGGTCTGCCCTGTCTGGGGTCATAGAGCCTTCTGTAGGTGGGCTGGGCTGGGCAGAGGACAGATGAGACCCCTGCTCCCTGGACACGTGACCTGGGCGCCTCCTGGGCGGGTCATTTCAGAAGCACAAAGTGCCATTGTTAATGGTCCCCTGCTAGTATTTAAGGTCCCCCTCAGTACATCCCCCTAATGCCAGCCACACTCTCAGTCAGGCCTGGCCCCCAGGTGGAGGGGACCCTCAGGGAAGGACATGGGGCCATGGGTATCGGCTGCAGAGCCTCTGCTGTGTGATAACGCCCTCGTGAGCGAGCTCCTCACTGACCCGCTGACTCACTGATGGTTGACTTGTCGCCGTGCCAGGTGGCCCAGTGACTAAGATCTGTGCACAGCTCAGCCCTCCTGAGCCCAGCTTGTTGTCCTTGGCATTTCTGTCAGATTTTCACACTGGACTCTCGAGTTGGTGGGGCACCAGGGGCTTGTCTCAGGGGTCGGGGTGGGGTGGGTTGGGGTGAGGGCTGAGGTGGGCACACACCTCGTGGGCAGATGGGGTGGGGTGCTCAGCTGCTCTGTCTCTGCGCCCCCAGACTCGGCGGAGCATGGTGTTTGCCAAGCACCTGCGGGCTGTGGGTGATGAATTCAGAAGTAAATATCTTAATTCCACGAACGAGGCCGACAGGATCCCCTATGAGGAGGACTGGACCAAGATGAAGGTAGTTTCTGTCTCTTTTCAGTAAGGAAATGTAAACTGTCTCTCTCAATGCATAATAATGAACCCTTTAATTCACAGCAGGTGGGGGCATGACTGTCATCTTTGGTGTCACCTCCCTTAACACAATCCACATTCATTACTGTAACTACTGTGGACGCTGCTCACCAGCCCACGGCCCTGGTGCAAGCTCAGGGAATCAGCAGCAGTTCTTCCGTGACGTGGAATGTGAATCACTGCGGTTCCGGCAGCCCGGGGATCGCTCCTAGAGTAAGCGGGTGGCAGCTGTGCAGGCAGAGTGTAGGTGATCAGTAGGTGCACTTTTCTTCTTTATAAGACGAGCAATAAAGGGAAAAAACGAGATTCGTCCACACCAGCCAAAAGCACCACTTACCCTTTTGGTCCAGCATCGTCCCTTTGTTTTCTTTTCTAAAAGGTTGGGTTTTCCTGTAACTTAATTTTAAGAAATGTTATGTTGCTTTTTCAAATGGACAGTGTTTAGCCATTTTCAGTGTAATAGGGGTGTGATCCCTCTGAGTGTCACAGCAGACTCCGTGGGGAGGAAGCCGCTTCACCGTGACTCCTGTGGGACGTTCGGCTGTCCCGGGGGGGGGGGGGGCTGCTCGAGCACTGTAGGCATGCGCATGTCTGCGCTGGGAAATGCAGTATCGGGTGGAAGGTTTTTATCTTTAATCGATGTGTATTTATTCCAGTGTTTCATTTCCTTTTTTTTTTTTTTTTGCACTCGGATCAAAGGGTATGGCAATTAGACACTCAGCGGCCTTAGAAAACACCCTGTGCACCTGAGGGTTCCTCAGACAGACTCACGGTGCAGGATGCTGAGTCCACGTGGAGCTCTTGTCCCCTCTGCGTGTCCCAGTGCCAGCACCTGACACAAGTCGTAGGTCCATCTCACCATGTCCCGTCCTCTGCCAGGTCAAGCTGGGCTCCTCGCTGGGGGGCCCATACCTTGCCGTCCACCTGAGAAGGAAAGATTTCATCTGGGGCCACAGGGAGGACGTGCCCAGTCTGGACGGAGCTGTGAAGAAGATACGCAGCCTCATGAAGACCCACGGGCTGGACAGAGTGTTTGTGGCCACGGACGCCGTCAGAACGGGTAGACAGCTCTGGCTCTGCCTTCCCTGCTTGCCCCCATTGCATTCTGGGCAGACCTGGGCATGCGTACTGACCCTCAGCTCTGATGCCAGGAGGGTAACCCTGAATTTCGTGGTTCTGTCCTCTTCAGCTCTTCGCCATTTCCTGAAGAATTGACATGTCGCAGAGTGTGCGGTGATCCTGGCAGGCAGACGCCTGTGGCACCGGCAGGTCTCCGTTCAGTGGCCTCTCCTTTTAACTTGCAGAATATGAGGAGCTGAAAAAGCTGTTGCCCGAGATGGTGAGGTTCGAGCCCACGTGGGAGGAGCTGGAGCTCTACAAAGACGGAGGCGTGGCCATTATCGATCAGTGGGTCTGCTCCCATGCCAGGTGCTCAGAGCGGAGGGCGCCTTGGGTGGTGTTTCTCACGGTTCGTGAGTCTCGAACACCTGACAGTCAAAAGAGAGAGTTCTGTGCGCCTGTTGTCAGTGCCCAGCCTTCTGCTCCGCTAAGTCCTTGTGACATTATGCTCTGGTCCTTAGGCTGCTGTCGGTTCCTCATTTCATTCCTGTGGTCCATGGCACCCTGTCATGATTGCTTCACTCCAAACCTCTCCTCTATCTCATGTCAGAGGGGGGCCCCAACTCCATTCCCAGACCTGCCCACCTGCCTGCAGGAGCGGCCCCATCCTTGAAGATGTGCACGGGCATCTCAGGGGTCCGGGAGCACGGGTCCTTTGGAGAAGTCCCATTCCTGGGCCGGTCCTTGTGGGAGGCAGCCTGCCCAGGGAGCGGGTCCTGGTCCCCTGTGGAGCCCTCTAAGGCCTCTGCCCACTGGGCTGGGAGCAGGTCAGAAAGAACACTGAGTAAAATGGAAAATAAAAGCGGAGTAGCTCATTTTCCTTCTGTTCTCAGGATTGTCAGACTCCTGGACAACGCATGTGTTTGGTTGAATGCTGTGTGTACACATGTCCTTGTGTGTGCTGGGTGCTGCGGGGAAGGCCCAGGGGTGCCCTCCTCCAGGGCGAGCGGCCTTTTCCTCTGCTGAACAGGGCTTTGGGGGGCGGGCTCAGCCCCAGCGGCGGGGTGGAGGTGGCTCCAGGCTGAGGGACCGCTTGCACCTTGACCGGCCACGCCAGGCTTCTGAACCACAGCCTGACAGCTCCGTCCCCCCAGCCCCAGACTTCTGTGGATATTTTGAGGTTAGCGCTTCCGGGACCCATCTTCCATAGACCCCAACCTGGCGGACGTCTTGCAGGGCAGACTTCTGGTGCCTTTGTTCCGAGGCTGCCATCTTGGAGGGGCTGGTGGCTGTGGGTGTTTTCTTCCCGCTGCCCTGGCCTTGTGGTTCTGGGCCCTCGTCTCTGCGAATCAGAATCTAGAAGTATCTCGTGTCTGCATTGTGCAGGGCTGTCGGTCTCCTCAGCACCGAGACTCAGCCAGGCCCCCAGCTTGGCCTTCGGGCTCCTCCGGTTTCTGCTCTGCCCCGCCAGCCCTGGCCACTGAGCCATGGTGCCCGCCGCTCAGCCTGGGGCCTGGGCCGGGCAGGTGTTGGGTTGTGTGAGCACGTGACCAGTTCTGGGACTCTGGTGACCTCTGCTGTTGCTTTGCAGGTTCTTCATCGGCACCTCCGTCTCCACGTTCTCTTTTCGGATTCATGAGGAAAGAGAGATCCTGGGCTTGGACCCCAAGACTACGTATAACCGATTTTGTGGGGACCAGGAGAGAGTGTGCGAGCAGCCCACTCACTGGAAGATCGCGTACTGAGCCGGCGCCCCGGAGGCCTGTGCCCGGCCCCGTTCCACACACGGTGGACTCTCGTGCTTCCCCTAACGACACATGTCACCATGGGGTCGCTCCTGCCCCAACGGCAGCTGGACAGACCATCCTGTCTCGTGGTCTCAGGCCCAGAGGAGGCTGCACACGCAGGTACAGCCCGTGACCGCGTGGCCACGGCGTGTGCGCTGCCCCTGCAGCCGCGCCGTTCTCGGCGTCTCCAGCCGTCACCACCATGAAAGCACTGCCACTTTCTGGGGACTCTGGTTGTGTTTTTTGTGAGATTTGAAACCGAATCTCAGCGGCCCAGCAAGACCCCCGGTGTGTTTCTTCAGCCTCGTCCTGGAGGCTCCCCAGCAAGTCGGCCCCGGGCGGGCGGGCAGCTCCCGGCGGGTGGGCCGAGCTCGCGGGCCCCTGGACCTGGTGCGATCTGGGCCTGGGTCAGTCAGGGTAACTCCTGTGTTGGCCCAAAGCCTTCGTTCTGTCCTTCCGCCCCGAGTGAGACCATGTGCGGTGGGAGGGACGGTCACGGCCTCGCAGAGCCGGTCGAGGGCCGCTCTCCTCCCGGCTCGGTGCCGGCAACTCTGGGTAGATCTCCGGCGATTTGCCTGTTCACGTGCAGAGAAACCGGTCCGTCCTCACCAGGTCCAGCCGGCTGCGTTTGCATTTGTGACTGTCGCTGCAGTGTGTGGGGAATGGAGGTGCTCGGCCGGGAAGTCCTGCACTGCTCCCCTCGTGGGCAGGGGTGTGGCTGGGAGGGGCCCAGTGGGCTCTGTCCTTCTCCAGGAGCCCTTTCGAGGCCTCAGAACTACTGCCACTTGGGGGTGCCACCAGGCACGTGGGTTGGCTGGAGCACTGCCACGGGGGCCCCACCCTGTCCCCTCTAACTGGGAACCCTGACTTTACAGGGACACCTGGGTGAGCAGCCGTGGACGGCAAGCACACGGGGCCTCCTGCTGAGCCTGGCAGCCAGGGCATGGGGGTCAAGGCCCACGATCCCCCACCTCCTTCCCAAGCCTCCTGCTGAGCCTGGCAGCCAGGGCATGGGGGTCAAGGCCCACAATCCCCCACCTCCTTCCCAAGCCTCCTGCTGAGCCTGGCAGCCAGGGCAGGGGGGTCAAGGCCCACGATCCCCCACCTCCTTCCCACGCCTCTGAAATCCACCCTGAACACGCGCAGGGGCTCTGGTGTCACAGCTGTGCAGGGGGAAATGATGAAATATTTATTCTATTTTCATTTGTACATTCAAATATTATGAATAAAATAAATTTTCTAGAAAGCTGAAATCCTAGAAATTGTGCCTTTTCTTCCCCTTGGATTTTCTCTTGGCTGAGAGCTATACGAAGAAGCAGTGTTGACGTGGCGCGGCCTGTGAAAGGGCTTGGTCGTCGTGGGTGTGCCGTGTCACGGCGGTGCTGCCGCTGTGATCGTGGGTGTGACCCCGTGTGCGGAGGTGGCGCCCGGGTCCCCCGTCCACTGGGCCGCCTGCCGCCCGGCCCATGAGAAACTCCGGCCGCGGCAGACTGCCAGCCTCAGCCCGGGGAGGCAGCGCTGCGCCTGGGCTGCGGGCGGGCGGAAAGGTCCGTGAGAACGTCCATGCCAGATGGTGGGAGGCACTGGGAAAGGGGTGAGGGGAGCTCAGGAGCCCGGGCCCAGCACCCCGAGGACCTGGGATACAGCCACACCGCATGGCCCCCGGCACACTGGCCAGTGGTTATCCGCCTGGTATCAAATCTCACTGACCGGTGGGCGGCTGCCCTGGTGTGAGCGGTGGCTCTTCCGGGGCCCTGGCCAAGTCCCAGGAGGGGCCTTTCATCTCAGGATGGGGCCATCGAGGCGCTGCTCCCACGGGGTGGGGACAGCTGTTGGTGCATTTGTGACATGGCACCTTCGTCCTTGTTTTCTACATGCAGAAGTGTGTCTGCGGAGACTGTTTTCTTGGGATAATCAGTCTGCCCAGCTCTGAAAGCCCAGCCGGCCTCCAGGGCCTGCGTCTCAGCAGATGACCTTTCCTGGAGCCGAAGGTGAAGGCAGCGTCCCTTCATTAGTAATGACACGTTCTCTGCTTCCTGTGGCTGCTGGCTCTGTCAGGTGGTCGGGCTGAGGCCCTGCTGTTGAGAAGCATCTGGAGTGTGCGTGGGGGGTGTCCTTCATACAGGACAGCCAAGGACGATGGACTGTCGTGGGGGACAAACCTTACCGTCTTGACCTTGAGCCAAAAGGACCTCAAAAGGATCCCACATTGTGATCCTACGAGGTCATGGTGGCCCATGGGCACCTGCCACGCTGCATGGACGCTTCTGCTGGTGGACAGGCCTGGGACACAGGCCCAGGCTCTGCTCTGCTCTCATGTGGGCCTTGTCCTCACACCAGGGGATTCGCCTTGAGGGGGGTGGGGCTTCGCTGTGACCACGGTGCCCTCCAGGCTCACTGGGGCGTCAGGCCCTGAGTAGAGCTATCTTTTCAGATGGCAGCCGAGGCCGAGAGGGAGGGTTGGTCAGGGCCACGCAGCCCCTCCCAGTGGGTCACCCTCTGTCAACGTCAGCCCCTTCCTCTTTCTCCAAACAAGGGAGACTACCATCAGCTCCCACACCCACACCCCTCCCAGATTTTTTTCCCTGTGGGTTTAAATGAGACGGTGCATTCGACAAGGATTGGGCTGAAGGAGAAGTTGCTGATGGGCAGTTTCCACCAACCCATCAAACCCACTTTCAAGGCCCTGGGCACCAGGAGGTGAGTAAGGGCCCTGGGGGGTGATGGGGAGGAGAGGTCCCTCAAAAAGACTGCTATTGGTCTTGGTGGTCCCAGCTGGCATTGCCCCGCCCCAGCCTGGAGCACCGGAAACTTCCGGGGTACCATCCAGCTGAAGAGCAGCAATGCTGGAAGGGCTGGGGGCATGGGGCCACTCTGAGGCCAAGAAGACAGGCAGTGACCCTGGGCACGGCTCCCCTCCCGTCTCCCTGAGGGTCTGCATGCACCTGGGCTCCATCCCCCCGAGGACCCAGCCCCAGCAAGCCCTGGAGGCCTCTGAGCCAGCAGACCCTGCCCCTGCGTCCCCACCCCTGTCCCTGCTGACCCACCACCCTGAACCTGGCACCTAGGCACTCCTCTTATTACGTGCCCCTCCTCACCTCCAGCAGGACAGGCTGGTCTGTAGAAAATGCCAGAACGTGCGGGTCATGCACTGTGTCTGTGCACAGTCACCTCTTCAATTTACAGATGAGGAAACTGAGGCTCAGAGGCAAAACAAATGGCCAAGGCCACTAAATGAGCAGGAACCAGAGCTGAATTTGGATCCAGGCCTCTGTGACCCCTCTCACCTTGTGGATCCTGCTGAGGTGGGAGAGGGGAGGCCCTGGGCAGTGGTACCTCCCATGACCCCTTCTTCTGTAACTGACTCTCCTGGGTAATCTCATCCTCCCTCCTCACCAGTGCCCACCCCGGCCTGGGTGCTGGACCGCAACCTCAGGCCAATCCTTGCGCCCACAGGACCCAGGGCCTGCCCCTGACACCAGTGCTGCCTGAATGTGTGCCTGTGTGTGCATGTACATGTGCCTGTGTGCATGCCTGACTGAGTGCGTGCATATGTGTGCATGTGTGCCTATGTTCTCACCTGTGTGTGTGTGCATGTGTGTGCACCTGTGCATGTGGGTGTGCACTTCTGTGTGATTCTGTCACACATGCAGATCCATGTGGCACCCACACACAGGTGCATTTTTAGCCACACACTGCCCAACCCGAAGCCACTGCCCTCGTGTTGTCAGCTCAGGAACGCTGTACACGAGGATTTCAAAGCTGGTAACCTTTGGAGGTGCGCTTTCCTCACCCCAGACACCCCCAGATCCACCTGTGCCGGGCGGTGTCCTCACAGAACACTTCTCGCAGGAAAGCAGCATGGAGCACACTCGTCGCATTTGGGGGCAGCATTTCTGGGTGGTGCCTGTGTTTGCCACTTTTAGGGTCACTGACTGGCCTAAAGCAGCTGTATGCACACGAAGATAACACACTGTGTCAACCCTGAGCTGTAGTCTGGGCTGCAGGAAGGACCCTACAGTCTCCGACCCCCTTTTCTCCCCCATCCGCACCCAGCACCAACTCTCCCTCTGGGCACTCTGCCCCGCACCCCCCGTGGGTGCTGAGTGCCAAGTGCGCTGCACACGGGCCCGGGGATAAACCTCTGGGAGCCGGGAGGGAGCATTCTGATGGAGGGGGCATGAGAGAGCAAGTTAAAACAGGACCGAGTGTGGGCTTTGAGCGAAACCTCTGAGCTGAACGGAGGAGAGGGCGTCCGCGAGCACCGTCCTTCAGGCTGCGGTCAGGACGCACCGAGGCTCGGGGGACCGCATCGGGGGACCGCATGGACACACAGGCCCCGGTCCAGGCAGCTCAGCTCTGCCAGAGGCTGTGAGGTGGGCCACTGGCTCCTGTGCTGTGAGGCCTCAAAGCTGGCCTGGGCCTGGTGGAGGGTGTTGGAGAAGGAGCAGCTGGGCAAAGCCCCGGGGGCGGGGGGGCACATACCTGGCTGGTTCTAGCAGCAGAAACGTATCCCAACAGCGCAACACGGTGGTTCTGGGGCACAGTGTGGGGTAGCATGGGACAGGAAGGTGGCGGGAGCCCCAAGTTCATGGAGCCCCCGGCCAGCAGCAAGGGGCCTGGGCAGGGAACCAGGATGTGGCTCCTGGCTAGGGCTGCAGAGGGAGGGGCCAGAAAGGGGCAGGAGGGTCGCCCGGAGCCCCCTCAACCCCCCAGGCTAGGCAGGCTGGGCACAGGTGAGAGACCTCTGGCAGGTTGAATCAGACCCCAACGCTGAAGGCTGCAGAAGGGGAGGGCAAGCAGGCTCAGCTGCCCCTGGGTCCTGGGTCAGACAGTGGGTGGTTTCCTGGGCTGGGGGTCAAGGGAGGAGCAAAGAGGGGCGGGGGGAACACCTAAGATCCAGCCCATGACCCCTGGGTCAACTTCTCCTGGGAGACTTGAAGGCTGTGACTCGCACCATTAGGAGGGGACATCATCAAAGAGAAAGAGCCCTTCCCAGCTCCCCTGTGGTCCCCTCAGCAACGCCTCCTCCCGCCGACTCTGATAAACCCACTAATCATCCATTTTTAACTTTTCCACTTAATCTTTTTTTTAAATCCTCACTCGAGGACATTTTTCCTTTTTTCTTCAGATAGAGGAGGAGGGAGGCAGAGGGAGGGAGAGAGAGAGAAATTTCAATGTGAGAGAGACACATCGAATGGCTGCCTCCTGCACGACCCCTGCCGGGGCCGGGGACAAACTGCTACCGAGGTAGGTGCTCTTAGTGGGAACCGAACCCGCGACTCATTGGTCTGCGGGCTGACGCTCTTACTGCTGAGCCAAACCAACCAGGGCTCTATTTAATCTTTTAAAAATAAAGGGGGAGCTCTGGCTGGTGTTGTTCAGTGGTTAGAGCGTCAGCCTGCCTACCAAAGGGTTGCAGGTTCGATT